AGCCTTGCTACTCTTATCACCTTGTTAGAAATATCATCGTGATAAGGCAGACTGCTCGGAGCCTTGCTACTCCTATCACCTTGTTAGAAATATCATCGTGACTATGACCTCGGGTTGCAGACTACGGACCCGAACCCTGGGCTAAAAGAGAAGTGGCAAAACATCCTGAATCTAGACCCCTCCACCACGTTCACCATTCCCTGGAACAGATACCTCCTTATTAGGCCAGTCAGAATCTGCAGCATGCAATGGCTCATAGCACACGCAGTCCTCCCGGTCAGCCAATGGCTCCACAAAAGAAGGCAATACTCAGACCCAGAAAGCTCAGAACTCTGCGTCTTGTGCAACAACAACACAACGGAAGACATCCCCCACTGCCTCCTCTACTGTCCTGAAGCAAATTGGATCTGGAACAAAGTTCGGCACCTTTGGTCCATCCTCTTTTCATCTCCACCCCCAAACACCCCCCCTCTAACAATCCTACTCCTATCTAACACTCCCAGGAATCTCAGTGGCAGCAAGGAAGTCTAGTTCAATCTACTCAGAAAACTAGCCCTCTGGGTCATCTGGAAACGCAGATGCACACGGACAATCGGAGGAGCACAGGTGTCAAGGGAGGAAATGCGGACTCTTCTGATAAGCATGGTGGAGACCGAAATTCGGGTCAGGTGGCGGAAAATATCCTCACCCAGGACGCACAGACCAGAAAGGCACGCGATCGAAAGAAGAACATTCCTGAGGAACTGGCTGTTAAAGGGCAAGATCGCCACCTTAGCGAACAACAGGCTGATATGGAAGAGGTGGCAGCAGGCGTAGCCTCAGAGAAACGGAACTCCGACGGATCCATGAAGGAGGAACAGTACAAACGCAGGGTGACAAGCAAGACAGTCGAGGGGTCAGTTTGGAAGAAGGGGCCCAATCCAACAACAACAAGGAAGTCAATCCCGACGAGGACAAAATGGGGCGCTAGTCTCAGACGGACAGACATCTCTCCCAGTTTCTTGTGCTTTATCGACTATTCGACAGAAGCAACAGGGCTTCTGAGAGGAAAACGAGAGTAGGGCAAGCTGACAGTCAATCCTCCCAAGAAGGAGCAATCAATGTTGGTCAGGGTTCCTTCGGCCAGACGGAAGGAAGCGTGAGTGAATCTCATGATGTATACAATTTTGACTTGTCGGGGGAATAGGAACCGGACTGATGCTCCCCATAATGGATATGGAGCCAGGGCCATAAAGACCTGTTTAAAATATATATATACATAGATAGATAGATAGATAGATAGATAGATAGATAGATAGATAGATAGATAGATAAATAGATCATCGTGATAAGGCAGGCTGCTCGGAGCCTTGCCACTCTTATCACCTTGTTAGAAATATCATCGTGATAAGACAGGCTTCTCGGAGCCTTGCTACTCTTATCACCTTGTTAGAAATATCATCGTGATAAGGCAGGCTGCTCAGAGTCCTGCTACTCTTATCACCTTGTTAGAAATATCATCGTGATAAGGCAGGTTGCTCAGAGTCTTGCTACTCTTACCACCTTGTTAGAAATATCATCGTGATAAGGCAGGTTGCTCAGAGTCTTGCTACTCTTATCACCTTGTTAGAAATATCATCGTAATAAGGCAGATTGTTCGAAGCCTTACTACTCTTATCACCTCTTTTACCACTTTCGCGACGACTTGGTCGTTGCTCCTGATGCCTCTTGAGCGTGGATCATTCGGAAG